GTCTTTCATAAAAGATTTCGCTAATATTGTTGAACCACTCTTAGTAATTAAAAGAAAGGAAGTAAATTTACGTGGACAGCGGAAGCAAATACAGCATTTGAAAGATTAAAAGAAGCGCTCATCAATGCCCCTGTTTTGAAATTCCCGGAGGGGGACGAAAACCTGGAAATTGCAGCAGATGCGTCGGACTATGCGGTGGGTGCGGTTCTTATGCAAAATAGCCATCCTCTGGCATTTTTTAGTAAAACATTGAATCAGACACAAAGGAATTATACAGCTACAGAGAGAGAAAACATTAGCCGTATTAATGGCTGTACACAAATTTCGAGTTTATTTCGGCAAAGCGCCAGTAACAGTCTTTTCGGATCATGCGGCTGTTGGTAGACTTTACTCGGGGAAAAACCTAACGCCCAGGTTAATAAGATGGGCTTTAAAACTCCAAGAATATAATCATAATAAATATAAACCGGGTAAGGAAAAACAATGTAGCTGACGCACTTTCTCGTATAAAACTGGACGATGAAGGAAATGAACTTAAATGCGCTGTGTTGACTTCAAAAATTTTAGATTCTAGAGATACGAATTATCACTGAACTTGAAAGCTGATCCTGAATTTGGAAGTATCTATGCATATTTGAAAGACCCCGAAAGCTTTGAGCACACAGATATCGATGCGATGCGATAAGAAATAGAGCAGAAAACTATGAAATAATAGATAATTTATTATTTTATACGAAAACAACAAACGAAAATCTTCGAGTACAAACCAGTCATCCCAGCCTCGCTTCGATTAAGCATTTTGAAGGAATTACACGACGCGAAAACAGCGGGTCATTTAGGGGTCAGAAAGACTTTAAAAAGGGTACGCGAGGCGGTATATTTCCCGCAATTATACAAAATAGTAACTGCGTATGTCAGGTCCTGCAATCAATGTCAGTTAATAAATGATATTAATTACAGCCCGGCCGGGTACTTAAATAGCATTCGCGCTACATTTCCGAATGAAATTTTAGGCATAGATCTTCTTGGTCCCTTCCCCCAGAGTGAGTTAAATAAAAATCGTTTTCTTTTAGTAATAGTAGATCATTTTTCAAAATGGACAGAAATTGTTCCACTTAAGCGCGCGTCAGCCAAAACAGTCGCAGATGCATTCTTACACAGATACATTTTAAAATACGGTGCACCGATAAAAGTCATTAGCGATAACGGAAAAACAATTCATTAGTCAAATATTTGAAAACATATGCACTGGACTTGGCATACGCCATATCAAAATGGTTCCGTATAGACCACAGGCAAACATAGCAGAAAGAGTGAATAAAAACATTGTAAAAATAATTCGCAGTTACGTTAGCACACATCACACAAGCGCTGGGATGGCTACATAAATGAATTAGCTTATGCTTTAAGAACGGCAAATCACGATACTACGGGAAAAACCCCAGCAGAATTATTTTTAGGCGAAAGTTAATTACGCCTTTAGATAAATTATTCTTTGTGCAACAAAGAGAGCAAGAGTTTAAAAACAGAAAAGATGTGCAAAAACTTATTGATCAGGCGCTTAAAAGCTCGGATACGGCAAGAAATAAGCAAAAACTTATTATGATAGAAAACGCCGTGAAGCAGATTTTAAAAGTAGGGGATAAAGTATTGAAGCGGAAATTTTCTTTATCAAGTGCCCCAGACAATTTTACTGCAAAGTTAGCTCCAAAATTTGAAGGCCCCTATGTAATTCAGGAAATCAAAGGGAGTCGTATTGTACCTTAAGAACGAGAGAGGGGAAATCTGTAAAGCAAGTCCCGACCAGGTGAAAAAAATACTATAATCAAAATGATTTTGAAATCCTTAAAAGTTTCTTGCAGGACTCAAGTCTAAAAGAAGTAGAAAGGTCCAGAAATAACGAACAACCGTTCCACCACCCAAGAAGCAGAGAACTGAAGAGAGACCTAGCCCTTCTACAACCCAGACGACGGTACCAAAAAGAAAAAGTGAAAACTTTCAGACTCCAGCATTTAAGAAAAACAAGAATGAAAAGCCACCGCGTAAAGAAACCTTGGTAAAGAGGAAAACACCACCTACAACGTATCGCAGTAGAAATTATACATCAAGGAGAACGCTCCCAGGGCCAGAGAGTCAGGTGCAAGCAAGGCCGCCGTTCCGGAAACTAAAACGACAGCAGGAGGAACGAAAATACCAGGAACTACAGAAGAAATTCAAGAAGGACTCCAGACCGGAGGACGTCCAAGACCAGCCGTCCAAGGAAAAAAACGAAAAAAAGACAGCAACCCGACGATTACTCCGCCAAGAGGCCAGCATGCAGAGGACGCAAAAGAAAAACTAATGTGGACGACACTCGGAGGTCAGTAAGGAGAAGATTGACGTCCATGAAATCCTATAACGTGGGAACAATTTTGCCAGAAAAGAATGACGGAGTTTCAATCATCGAAAACTCAAAGATAAGTTAAAATCTTCTATAAAATTTTTTCTTTTGTTCCGAAATGTTATGCATAAGTACGAAGTTCTATGTTTTGACGAAAGTCAATATGTCTCGGTTGAGACTTAGTTTTGTTTTACTTTATTTAGCTAAGGCAAAAGTATTATTTTCTTTAAGTATAAAATCTAAGAACAAGCAGTTTCTGTTGGTCGAAAGACTAATTCTGTTATGTTAAAGCCAAAATTTGGCCGAAGATAAAAATAACTTCGTATTCTTGTATTAATAAGAATTTTAGTTTCAGTGCCGCCAGCTTGGCGAAGAATGAGTAAAGTAAAAATTTATTTTTTCTTATTCATTTTATGGTAAATTGTAAAAATCATATGTATTAAAATTTTGTAAATATATGTAAATACTTGAAAGTTATGTAAAAGTAGAATTTAGTCTAGAAGCATAAAATTTTAGATACTAAAAGTAAATGCTTAAAAGCAATGAATTCAAAATTTAAGTATTAAAACTGTAGATAAGTCATGCTTTAGAGCGAAAGCCTGCATGTCTAAAGATGAATGAAGGGGAAGTTAGAATGAATGTGTTTTGTAGGGTTCTCCACCTACACTTGAATTTTTAAGAATGTTAAAGTAGCTCATCGAGTTGTAGAATGTCGAGTAAGGTGTGTCTATTTGGTCGTTGAATTCTAACAAATCATGGTGGTTAGGGAAAGTGTTGTAAGACTAAAACACGAATATTCCCGTTTGACACCACACATGGTGGAGAGCCAGGGTAAAGTTAAATTAATGCTTGAATAATTGAATGAATGTGAATTAAGCAGTAACTAAGGAAAACGAATCGTTTAAAAACAAAAATTTATTCAGTGTCAAGAAAGTGTAAATTATAATGTATTTAGAAAGATACTGATACTTATTCCTTCCAGATGCTGGAAGGAAAAGAACAAGATTGATTGATAAAGTCCAGGAAAAGTTGCTGTAAGAAGAGAGATTTATATAAGTATTGACAGAAATGAAATTTAGTATACATTTTGTTACATAAATTTTTTTTTTTTTTTTTTTTTTTTTTTTGTTGTAAACGAGGCTCTTACCAGTTAGTTCAGAATTATAGAAACTTTACAACAGGTCATTTGTAGGACCCGCTTCCAAGTTTTCCAAATTCTGGCAGCGGCAAATGTAGGGTTTTTATTTATTTTAACTAACATTTATTTTAAGTTTAAACTATCTTTCCTGTTAAGCCTTACTTTCCCCTGGAACTGCCAATGCCAGAGTATGTAAATTTTAGTAGAACGCGCAAGGATTCAAATTATCAGCGGAAGTATTCCGAGTTAAATAGAAAGGAAACGAGTTCGAAGTGTGCTGTTCTTACTTCACGAGCGCGGAGGTAGTTAGCCAGAAATTGAAGAACCCCGCGTTTCGGCCTGTGTGCTTGTCTCGGAGAATTGTTAATCGTTCAACGTGAATATTCAAAGTTTGCTGAATTAGCAGCGGTATTGTAAAACGCGGTGAGGTTAGTTACTTTTAGAGAGCCTCGTAGTTAGAGTCTTGTTATTATTTCTTTTCAGGTTTCTTATTTTTATTTTACCGCCGGGTCGGCGTAGTTTGTGAGTGTCAAGAGCACGCAATTGTAATTTCTTAAGTTGAATAAAAAGGGACTTAAACCCTTAGCAAGACTCTGTCTATTTTCCAGTTTCAACAGTCACCTCTTGGTTGCGTGCAAGTTGGAGGCGCGCAACTCTACAAATGTACGATTCAGAAATTTTACAACTGTCATTATTAAGTGATGTACTTCAACACTTGCTCGTTAGATGAGGGCCGATTTACAAAGCATAATAAACTATATGAAAAGCTCAAAATTTTTCGAAAATAACTAAGCGGAGAGTCTTTGACAAATATTAGGTGGCAGATAATAATTTGTGACTAATTATGAAAACGTGTTTATAGCTTTTGCAGTATGCAGTCATTTACTGAATTTCTTCGGGTTTAAAACGCTGTGGGTTTAAAACGCTGGTTTAAAACGCTGTATAAGATGCACCCCTTAATTTCAGAATCAGCAACAGAAAAAAATGACTTTTATTTTCTAGAAAATTAAGATAACTGAAATGAAATGCAACTCTGAAATATTTCTTTCTAATCAACTTGTATTTATCAACAAAATTATATTTATTTATTTAATATGGAAAATTAATTTTGGAAAAATTAGTAATTCTGAAATATTTGTGATTCCATGTAAGTTTCGTTTTAAGATCGAAAAAATACGGTATATAAATTGCAAAAATTTCTTTGCAAAATCGGAAAAACATGGTATATGAATTGCAGTATATTATTTATTTTTTTGTTTACAGCATATTTGCATTGAACGTGTTTTGTAAAAGAAAGCATTTATATGTAAATATCCTACATGGGTTGCACACCGTCTCTATACGAATGATATTTAAAATGTTTTATATATTTGTACTTCGTTTTAAGAAACGGATTATATTTTATAGTCTGTACTTTTAAAAGAATTTATTGCTTTCCTAACTGATATCCCTAAGTTCTGAGCTTTTAATTTCTTATCTTAGGAAGGTTAGCTGTTGCATTGTTTTCTCTCAACACAAGAGACAGTGCTATAATTAGTTTTGAAGAAGGTGATACACTTATCATAGAAGATGATAGGTAAGCTACATCTTTTTGTGTAGAAACTTCATGGATTTCTGAAATACGTTGATCATTATGATTCTTTCGCATTAATGAACTAATCATGGTTATTTTAATGTATATGAAAAGGAAAGAAAGAGAGAAAGAAATAAATCATAAAATAACCGTAAAACTATCTTGATAACAAATTTAAAAATTTGACATTAATTTGATGTAATTTTAAAGAAAATCTATATCACCTTACAGATTAGGATTTACCCCATTAAACAGTGGTTCTATTACAGGAATGGATATTAAGTTAAAATGACTGTTTATGCACATGTAGTACTCTAAAATAACTATATTGAAGTGCTTGATGAAATTATATATATATACGTATATATTTTTTAATTTAACAAATATTCGCTATTCGTATAAAACTAATCTAAAGTTAATTTAAATTTAAATTTTAAATTATGAAATTTTAATTGCATACAAATAAAAGATAAATATTGCTGCGAACTAATTTACAGTATCATTTAAATTCTAAGAGCACATGTAAATTCAGTGTACATATCTAAAACCATGAAAAAAAAAATAATATTCCAAAAATTAATCTCAATTTTTTTAATGAATTTTTAAGACCAAATTAATTTGCATGAGTGCATAATTGTTGAGCAGGCAGGAAACAGACTTATCAAGGAAAGCCTCCAAACCTAACCTTCAATTACTCAATTCGTGTTTCGTCATCCATATAAACAAGAGTATAGTAAAATTCAAAACCAAAAATAAAACTAAATGTTGTGAATTACTAAAAAAGAAATTCAAACTGGTAGGAATTTTGATAAATTTAGCAAGTAAATGACTAGGAATTAAAATATTAATAAAATGTGAAAATAATTAAGAGAGTAAACCAAATTTTTTAGAAAACCAAAGTAATTTAGAAACTCTCCCTATTGGAAACTTCCCCCACACGAATAATGCATGTAAACATAAAATAAACTATATACAATCTATCAAAATAATAAAAATAATACTAAAAAGGGTAGTAAATAGCAAGTTTTAATTTAATTTACCTAGAACTAGAGTAAATATTACTCTTACTTACTTTAGTTCTTACTAGAACTAAAGTAAAAACCACACTGTATTTATGTGTATATAGGGAAAACACATAAATTTAGCAGGGAAATTGAAAATATACCATGTTACTGAGTATTGATACAAATTAATCCACAGATATTGACGAGGTAAATTTGCAGTCAGTACATAGGTATAGCAGAAAATGATTTCTTTGGAGTTTTTAAATAAGTGCCCTGTCACTTAAAACATACTTTTATAAAAACAATAAGAAAATTTACAGAGATTTCTAGTTTTTTCTTGTCGATGTACAACTTACGGCGTATTTTTTCTTTTAAAGCCATATTGATATTTTTTGAGATCCCCTTTCAAGTTATACAATTAAATTTGAAACAATTTTATTCACCCTTTTAATCTAACAACTTACTTACTCATTCCATCACTCCACGGTAACCATCTTTGGTACTTCCCACCTATATCTTCATTATTCTTTTCGATTTCCTTTAGTATATCTGCTTATTAAGAAGCTTTTACTCTTTCAGTCCTTTGGCTTAATTAAATGCCAAAGACTTTATCGTTTTTGCGTTTTTTCATCTTGTGTCTTCTGTATTTTCTTCATACCAGTTTTCAAAACCTTGAACCTCAAATGCTGCTACCTCTTCTTCAATAGAACTTTCTTTTATGTACTGATGCATCAGGAATCAGTTTCTCTATCATCAATAAGCAATGGGCTTTTGAATTTCATTGAAAACTTAAACAGTGAAATTCGTAGCATCCCAAATCACGAGCTTCTTCCAAAGATTTTTTTCCAGTATTAGATTTTTTTTTTTCCAGTATAAATCTTTTGGGGAAGAAGTTGTCAGGGCTACTGTTCCTTCTAACTGACTTGGGAAACATGACAGAAATCCTGAGTGGGAACACAGGGAGCTTACTCAGGCTACGTTCGTGTGTGTGTGGAATAGACAAACAAGTTACGAGAGAAGGGTTAACGTTACCCTTTATTTCTCACAGCGTACAGATGCTCCCACACTTGGGGATACAGAGATCAACAGTTTGGTCTAAAATATGAAAAACAAGAAATATTCACTGACTAACTAATTTAACTAATTAAGAATTAAACTTAAATGCTTCACAGAGACTATTAACACAAAGATTGGACTTTTGACACTGCGTACGTAACGAGCTAAATGCAAATACTACAATACGCCTAGTATATCAGCAGGAACTAAGTTCTGGCCTAAAGACAGACACGAACTGACTGAAAAGCACGCGCGTAGCAGGATAGCAGAAAGTTTCTCTCCCTCTTGGCTAGAAAAGACTTCTTAAATACCTTTTACAGTTTTAAACTCATTAACACAAAAAGCCTACTCTCGCTTATTCTGGCCGGAAATGGAAAATAAAAGAGAATAGCAAAGTTTAAAATAAAATAAACGTTAGTAAAGCTTAAAATCCTTATAAAGCCATTAATATTTCGGAAAGTTGATAATCTACAAAGTCCTGTATCTAAAGCTCCTTAACCTATTAACACCGTAGCAGTTATCAATGTTACCAAAGTAAGTTTTATCAGAATAACGTAGGTAATTTCGCTTCAAATATCTGTAAGATTTAATTAGAGATTCTTTCTCGAGATTGCATTTTCTCAGCGTTCTTGCATATTATTATAGGCAGTTCTTATTCTCGAAATGAAGCTTTATTTAAACATTTTTCGAGCACATTTAAATTGTCTTACGTTAATTTTTAGCATTTTGAAATGCAATGTAACTGGGCACGTTCCCCCCAAACGAAACTGTTTTTAATGGTCACGATATAAGGTATTTCTCCCACTTTCCTAGTGTCCTTCGTGGTGTAGTGGTTCTGCACACTGGGCCGGTATTCCAGAGGTCCATGGTTCGATTCCCGGCGAAGGCGGTTGCTAATTTTTCATCTCTCTGGCTTCCAAAAATTCCTAATGTCTCTACAAGTGGCGCCCGAACTAAAAGGGTTGTGGATGATGATTCTCTGCACCCAGGATTTGGCGACTAGGTCCCCTAAAACCCTAGTCGCCCTTTAAAAAGGGGAGTATATAAGGTATTTCTCCCACTTTCCTAGTGTCCTTCGTGGTGTAGTGGTTCTGCACGCTGAGCCAGTATTCCAAAGGTCCGTGGTTCGATTCCCGGCGAAAGCGGTTGCATATTTTTCATCTTTTCTGCTTCCAATTAACTTAATGACTCTACAACGATACATCTAACTTTATAAGGAATTTCTGGCCTTTGCCACTGCTCGCTCTCTCGATGTAATTGGTAACACGTATGGCTATCAAGCGGAAAATTTGAATCCCGGCTAGAATATAACTGGCATTTTCTTTATTTACTGCTTTAAAATATAACATAACTACAACATCCTAATAAATTATTAAGAAAAGTTTTAAAATTAAATTAATTTAAACTTTCATTTTTTATTCACCTTTTTTAGTATTCATAATATTTCTGTTTTACAACACATCTTACAAAGTGGGAGAATTACAAATAATGGAATTGCATTAATCTTGCGAATGAAATAGTTTTCCGAATCTTGTTAAATCCATTAGAAAGAATCGTATTCACGTTAAATCCCATGATGAAAAAAACCTCATTCTCAGCTGAAGACTTCGTATCTGTCATGTCAGTAACTCTCTTGGTCAATTAAAAAGTTAGAATTATAACGTAGTCTAAAATTGTTGACCTAAGCCTGTGTCACATTATGTCTTCCTTTTATAATGTAAATTCTAGGTTCTCTCTTGTCGAAGAACGAAAACTCATAGAAAGAAAAATACTTCCATAATTCATGCAGTTTCTAATGCACCTGCCACGAACGTTTGGAACTCCGAGATACTCTCCCCCAAAATTTGTGTGGAAAGTAGAAGTCTAACCTCTTTGAGGTTCTGGCATAAAATATGAACTCAAAAACTTCATTTTTCCATGAAATATGGACTCAAAAACCACAGCGAAAGATTGTTTTAGCTGTCTACAACAGAGCGGTCACAATACACAAGATGCCTTAGGTCACTCTCGAAAATGATGAGAGGCGACCTAAAAGGTTTTCTCATCGTTATTATGGTAGTTCTGACAGTTTTCCATGCAATATTTGGTACTGTAGAATTCCACCGTCAGCTTTCGCGTTTCTTGAAGTTTCCCGATGAAATCATATAAATTTTGGTCGTTGATATCCAGATCATGGGAGCCAATCAAATTAAAATTTTTTTAGAAATCTACCATGCAGCACTTAACTGTTTCACAGCGAAGTCGTCCGAAATTCCCATACATTCAGACATCGACAGGTCGCTCTAACGCCTGTGTGCATTTTGTACTTGGTGCTTTCCCCCTTATTATTATTTATATCTTTATCGTTATCGTTACTTCTAACTAATTAATCAAGGTAAAACAAAACTGCTTACCTTGTTCCAATGGGTTCTACCAGGGCCACCGGGTTGATCTCCTTCGTGCATCTCCCTGCAAAATCTTGAAGGGGATAATCCATAAATGATATATACTTTCTTTACACAAACATATTTAATGAAGACGCAAATGGTTACAGAATATTTACATAATGAAAGGTTTAAATGTTCGCACGACGCAGCGTGCGACTTCTCAGTTCCGTGTTCTCGTGATCTCTAGGCAAGAGTTCCCAGTTTGAGATGACGTCACTCAGCCATCGAATCTCAGCAAGAGTTGAGTTGCAACATCCTCTTGCCCGGAAGGACAATTGCTGTAATTGTCCTTAATACATTCCAGCTCCACTGGATATAGTAATTGCAGTGGTCTTTTAATCGTATGTCCATTGGGCAAGCAGACAGCACAGGCTCTCACCTTGCCATGTCCCCCAGGAAAGACTTCCATTATGATGCCCATCTTCCACATCAGCCGTGGAATTTTATCTTCATGCACTAATACAATAGTTCCTTTCTTCAAACAAGGTTCCTGTTTTCGCCAGTTTGGAATGATGAG